TTTTCTTTGATCAGTGTGTTTATTTTCTCTATGGTATCTTCAGTATCTGATATTCTTTCTTCTATCTCTTGTATTCTGTTGGTAGTACTTGTCTCTGTAGTTCCTGTTCGTTTACCCAGATTTTCCATCTCCAATCTTCCCTCGGTTTGTGTTTTCTTCATTACTTCCAATTCATTCTTCAAGTCTTGAACTGCTTCCCTTACCTGTTTGATTGCTTTTTCTTGTTTCTCTTGGTTTTCTTGGGTATCTTTGAGCGATTTATTCATTTCCTCTACCTTTTTGTTTGTAATCTCTAATTGTTTATGGCAGTTTTTTACCTCCTGTTTAAGGTCCTCTATTAATTTCATATAATTCACTTTTGAGTCGATTTCTTCTAATTCTTCTGGAGTAGGGTGTACAATTCTTCTTGATTCGGGATCCCTGGATTCTGGTGATGTCATGTTGCCTTTCAGGTTGTTGGAGGTATTCTTGCATTGGCGCCTTCCCATCTCTTCCTTCAAATGGAGCCAGGAGAGGCCTGGTGTCTTGGTCCAGACTTTGCAGTGACTGACTCTCTGGGTGTATCTCCTCAGTGTAGAAACAGGAACCGTTCCATCCAGATGAAACTCGTCAGCACTGAAACATGGATGCCTGGTAATCCAATGACCCGTGGACAAACGGTCAAAATTGGAGGGCAGTGCGGGGGTCGAGTAGAAGACAGGAGACGCTGCGGGCAAGCTGAAGGTGCCCGCGCTCCCTTTGAGGGTCCTTGAGGCCTTCCCGGTAGGCAGGCACTCACCTCTCTGGGTGGGTAGCCTTAGTGTAGGAGCAGAAAACTGTTCCTGAGCAAAGGAACTTGCAGATCACGCAGGCTTGGGGGCGGGGGGAACGGTCGTGTGTAAGAAAGACAGCCCTGCAGAAGGAGCTGGGGGAGGGGGGTTTGTGCTGTCTTCTGGGACAATCCGCCCCTGGATAGCACACACTCACCCATCCAGATGGAACTCCTCAGCACCTAAACAGGGATGGCTGGTAGCCCAATGAGCCGGGGACAAATGGAACTTTTTTTTTTTTCAAAGTCTTAAAGTTCTTGTCAAATTGTTCTTTCATTTTCTTGGTTAGTGTTACCCCAAGAAACTTCATGCTATTTGTGGCGATTGTAAAAGGTGATGTTTTTCTGATTTTCATCTCAGCTTCCTTTTCCTTTGTGTATAGGAAGGCTACTGATTTTTTTAGTTGATCTTGAATCCTGCCACATCACTGAAGGTATTTATCAACTGTAGGAGTTCTCTGGTAAATTTTTGGGGGTCACTTATGTACATTATCATATCATCCTCAAATAAAAGTTTGACTTCTTCCTTTCCAATTCAAATCCCCTTGATCTCCTTATGTTGTCTTATTGCTATTGCCAGAACTTCAAGCACTATGTTGAAGAGATAGAGAGAGACTGGACAGCCTGTCTTGTTTCTGATTTTAGTTGAATGGCTTTCAGTTTCTCTCCATTTATTTTGATGTTGGCTGTCAGCTTGCTCTATATTGCTTTTATTATATTTAGATATGATTCTTGTATCCTTAATCTCCCCATTACCTTTATTTAAGGGTGTTGAATTTTATCAAATGCCTTTTTGGCATCTAATGAAATAATCATATTTTTTCTTTCAGTTTATTTATAAGAAGGATTACATTGATAGATTTTTATATATTTAACCAGCTCTGTATCACTGGGATGAAGTGTACTTGATCATGATGGATGATTTTTTTTATGTGTTCTTGGATTCAGTTTGCCAGTATTTTATTGTGATTTTTTGCATCGATGTTCATGAATGAGACTAGTCTGTAATTTTTTCTTGGTTGAGTCTTTTTGTGTTTTTGGAATCAGGGTAACTGTAGCTTTATAAAAAGAGTTTGGCAAAAAAAATGTGTTTGGCAATGTCTCTTCTGTTTCTCTTATTTGGAATACATTGAGGAGTGTAGGTATTATTAGTTCTTCTTGGAAGGTCTGGTAGAATTCTGCACTAAAACCATCTGGTCCTGGGCTTTTTTTGGTTGCAAGGTTTTTAATGACAGCTTCTATTTCCTCGTGACTTATAGGTCTATTTAAATCATTCACCTGGTCTTGATTTAATTTTGGTGTATGATATTTATCTTAAAAAAGTCCATTCCTTTTATATTTTCCAATTTTGTGCCATACAGGCTTTTGTAGTAAGATCTAATGATTCTCTGAATTTCCTCAGTGTCTGTTGTTATGTCCCCCCTTTCATTTCTGATCTTGTTAATTTGAGTATTCTCTCTCTGCCCTTTGATTAGTTTGGATAAGGGTTTGTCAATCTTGTTGATTTTCTCAAAGAACCAGCTCTTTGTTTCATTGATTCTTTAGATTGTTTTCTCTGTTTTTATTTTGTTGATTTCAGCCCTCAATTTGATTATTTCCAGTCTTCTACACCTCCTGGGTGGAGTCTGCTTCTTTTTTCTAGATCATTCAGGTCTGCTGTAAGGTCACTAATGTGAGCTTTCTCCATTTTCTTTATGTAGGCACTTATTGCTATGACCATTCCTCTTAGCACTGCTTTCATAGTGCCCTATATGTTTGTATATGTTGTGTCTTCATTTTCATTGAATTCAAGGAAGAGTTTAATTTTTTTCTTTATTTCTTCCTTGACTCAGGGTTGGTTCAGTAGTTGACTATTCAGTTTCCATGAGTTTGTCGGCTTTCTGGGTGTAGTATTGTTAAATTCTAACTTTACTCCATGATGATCTGATAAGACACAGGTGGTTACTCCAATTTTTTTGTATCTGTAGATTTTTGCTTTGTTACTGAGTATGTGATCAATTTTAGAGTAGGTCCCATGAGCTACTGAAAAGGTATATTCTTTTCTGTTTGGGTGGTATATTCTATAGAAGTCTGTTAAGTCCATTTGATTAATTACATCTGTTAGTTCTCTTAATTATCTGTTAAGTTTCTGTCTGGTTGATCTGTCTATTGGTAGGAGAGGAGTGTTGAAGTCCCCTACTATTCGCGTGTAGGGTTTGATGTGTGATTTGAGTTTTAGTAATTTTTTTATATATGTGGGTGCATCTGTAACTCTGATGTAAGTTTTTACTTTGGGAAGCAAGGAATGAACTAAAACAAGGGAGGAACCTGGAGGCAGGAACTGAAGCAGAGGCCATTGAGAGATGCTGCTTACTGACTTTCTCTTCTTGGCTTCCTCAGCCTGCTTTTCTCTCTTATACATTCTATGACTGCTTGCCCAGGGTTGAACTGTCCATAGTGGGCTGGTCCTTCCTACCTCATTAATCAAGACTGTATCCATAGGCTTCCCTATAGGCCAGTTTGATGGTGGCATTTTCTCAATTGCAGTTTCCTTTTCCCAGGTGACTCCAGCTTATGTCAAGTTGACAAAATCAGACAAGCAAGCAAGCAAACAAATGTATAAAGAACCAGGCATGGTGGTGGGGTTAAAAGTGGAGGGCATAATAGAACAAAGGCAAAAAGAAATTAGAGAGGGGTAAAACTGTGGGTGAGAAGATTTAAACAGGGATGTGGATGTGAGGATTAGGAATAAGAGGGAGATGTGAATGGAGGAGTGGAGGAATGATCAACCAGAATTAAAAAGGATAATGAAGCCATGTGGCTTGTCTCCCAACAGAAAACAGAAAAAGGGAAACCTAAGAATAAAGTCAAGTAAAAATAGCTTCATCATTCATCATATGAAACATTTCCTTTACTATGTTAATGTAACACAAAATTNTCCCAAGAGTGGCATTGCTGGGTCCAGGGGTAGGTTGATCCCGAATTTCCTGAGAAACCGCCACACTGCTTTCCAAAGTGGTTGCACAAGTTTGCATTCCCACCAGCAATGGATGAGGGTACCACTTCCTCCACAGCCTCTCCAGCAAAGGCTATCATTGGTGTTTTTGATTTTAGCCATTCTGACAGGTGTAAGATGATATCTCAAAGTTGTTTTGATTTGCATTTCCCTGATTGCTAAGGAGGTTGAGCATAACCTTAAGTTTCTTTTGGCCATTTGAACTTCAAGAAGTCATTGTTTTTTACTGCTGGGTAGTACTCTAATATGTATATATTCCATACTTTCTTCAACAACAGACATTTCTGCAGCCCCTCAACTTTTCTTGCAGCAGTGAACCATGCATGCCTGTTGCAGCTCATTAAATTCCCCAGATGGAAGAACAACTTAGCATCCTTTATCTCAGAGTTAAGGAAATGGTGGAAGAGAAGGCAGCCTAACATTGAGAGAGTTACGGATATAGGGAAAGGATGCAGGTCATCCTCTGACCTCCACATGTGTGCAGTGGCTTTGTGTAAAGACTTAAGATGTTTGATTAGGATGTGTGCAAATATGAAATGATGAAATGAAGACAGACATTTCTAATAAACTTTCTCTCTCTGTTTTAGATTATTTATGTCATCAGGAATCCAAAAGATGTTGTTACATCTAATTATTATATAGGAAAACATTTTGCCCTTTTGTATAATCAGCTGACTTTTGAAGAACATCTTAATGCATTTATCCAAGGTGAAGGTGAGTGGAACTAGGACCATCAATTTCATATTTTGAAATCAAGCCAAGACTGGAGATTTGTGTTGCATGTTTAAAAACTAAATCTGTGGATCACATTGTTTCAAATTTACTCAGTGTGGGACTAGAAAGATGGTTTAGCTGTCAAGAATGTGTGTTTCTCTTGTAGATGTCCAAGATTGGGTGCTAGCATCCATGTCAGATTGCTCTCAACTGCTTGTAACTCCAGTTCCAGGGGTCTAGCACCCTCTTCTGGCATCCCCCAAAACTGCATGCACCCATGTATGCACATAACTACACACACACACACACACACACACACACACACACACACATGAATGCAATTTAAAACAACAAAAATAAATACTTCAAAATTTTATACTATGGGATGTCAAAGGTTCTATAGACAATCTGATTTTCACTTAATACACTTTTAACTTAGAAAATCAATTCTTATATGATATACCATTTAGGTATGAATGATCATCTATCTTTTATTTTTATATTTTTCAGTTGACGATTTCCAAACATTATATTAATTCATTTAGTGTGTATGTATATGGGGTATACACATGTCATAGTACATGTGTGAATATCTGAAACAACTTGTAGGAGTCAGTACTCTCCTTCAAACGTGGGTTTCAGGGCTCAAACTCACATAATCAGGTTTGGGGTCACGTGCCTTTACTCACTGAGCCATTTTATCAGTTCTTGGTGTTTTATTCATGATGAAGTATTATTTAATAAACATATGATTACTTCATAAAATAGTTCTTACAGGTATTTGGATTCATTTGTTTTAAATACTTTTCTAGGCCAAGTTCAAAGAAGCAGGGCTGGAGAGGTGGTTCCGTGGTTAAGTCTTCTTTCTGCTTTTTCAGAGGGCTCAGGTTCAGTTCCCAGCACCCATGTGATGGTTTACAAACACTTGTAATTCTACTTCCAAAGATCCTATGCCCTCTTCTGGTCTCTGAGAACACTACCATGTAATGCACATACATACATTCATACCAGCAAACACTCACACATGAAATGAAGTTTAAAAAGTTCTTTTTTAAAAATGTAGGTAGTAAGCTTGTATATTTTTTCCCTCTAAAAAACACCACATGTGAGCTTTCTTTACCAATGTCATAATTGTATTATAGGCCTCTAGAGGTGGAAACATCCCTTACATCCCTCAGAGTAAACGCCATCTTCCAATCAGGGATAAGAATCAGTATCCATGAGGTATAAAATTTCAGTATTTGTTTCCTTTTCCTCCTCCTCTCCGTAGTGACTTTTGGATCCTGGTTTGATCATACCACTGGATGGCTAACAAGGAGAGACACAGCGAACTTCCTCCTCATGTCCTATGAGGAGCTACAGAGGGTAATTCTCTTCCTCTGTGCTCCCACATCCCATATCTGCCTTTCTTCCTTTCTTCTCTTCTCTGAGGGGTAAACAATCAGGTGAGTCACAGTCAGCATCTGCTGTCAACTTGACACAGCCGGGAGAGGCACGATCAATGCAGACACTGCCTCCACTGGATGTCTGTGGGAGCGTTTTCTCGGTTAATGATTAGCGTAGGGCGCCTACCCACTCTGGGGACGATATCCATGGGTGGGTGGGTGGGCTTGAGATATCTAAGAAAGGCACTGAGCGGCCTGGGGGAGATGTCAGTGAGCAGCACGCCTTGTAAGACCCTCACCTCTTATTCTCAAAGGTGTGAGAAGAAATTTCCTAGCAGAATGTTTTCCCAGGAATATAGTGGCCTTCTCCTTTCCCACCTGGGAGATTCCAAGTACAAGGCCACTTAAACCAGGCGGCCAACCACCTGGTGATAAAGAAAACAAAACAAAAAGCTGACTTAGCAGAATGGGAGGGAGCAAAAAGATCTTGCACCTGTGCCAAAGCAGCTTCAAAAAACCGCTTTGTAGTTACACCTTTAAAAGACTAACCCCACAGAGGAAACGCAACTCCTCTCTCTACCTTGCTGCAACAGGGTGTTGGAGACAACACTCCTCTGTGGTCTCTGCTTCAGTTCCTGCCTCAAGCTCCTGTCCTGGCTTCCCTCAGTGATGCTCAAAACCTGTCAGCTGAATAACCACACCCCAGGTTGTTATTTGTCAGTATTTTATCACGGCAACAGAGAATCAAACTAACTTAGGGAAGGTGTGTAAAACCTAACCTTTCATTGCCTACATAACCTCAGCAAGTTCTAACAGACCCTGAGACTCATTGTTCTCCTGAAACTGCAAAACAGCACTACTCAGCTAAAATGGAAAATGACAAATATCTAGAGTAGGGAAGGTCATGCTGTGTGTGGTTGGTAAGTGTTAGCCATGTCTTATTAAAGACATGTGCCTCGTCTAAACGATCCTTCAGTTACAGGGTAAGATCCAGATGGCTTTTGTTGAGGATACCAGCCTGGCACATGCTCTGAGTTCAAGCTCAGCATCCTTAGCACACGGAAGTTGTCACAGTGGATCCCACACTGACAACCTGACCACATCAACATATTTGATGCAGGCACCTCGACAGCTTCACATTGGAGTCCAGGGACAACCTAATGGGCTATTGAACTTAAAACTTAGGGCAAGGACCTTCCATATAGACTTTCAGAGAATGTTCCAGATTCGAGTTCTAAGTCAGAACTAAGGACTGGCCAACAGGAATCTCATCATTGCAAACTTTATATTACATGCAGCAATTTCAATGCTCCAAAGAGTAGTGATTTTTCATATAACTCTCTCTTTTCCAAGTGCACTTCTATGGGCTCATTTAACCCAGGTGACCATTGAAATTTTGATTTCTTTCTGTGGTATACAGTGTTTTGAGCAAGTGCCTGTTCATTTACCACCTCCAGCTTTCAACCAAGTTTAGATCCAGTTGGATTCATGCGTTTTGTTTCTGCTAATAAAATTTGCCAATGGAAAGTTGGCAGCCAGGAGTAATGAGGAGCATAGTGGGGGGAGCAGAAAAAATGACTTGTGTGTTTCTATGAAATCTAGATGAGCCATATGTGGAGCACACAGGTGCAAGGGAGGACGAGGAGGAGGGGTGAGGAGGACAGCAAAGCATGATGGGTGATGAGTGAATATGAGTTCACTACAATGTTACACATGTATAAAGTGGCATCCTGAAATCCTACATTTTATACACTTAGAACTGATTCTGTTTTGACAAGGAAAAGCCAGGAGCTTGAGGTTGGCTCAGCAGTTCAGAGAATTTGCTTCTCTTCCAGAGGACCTGAGTTTGGCTCCCAAACCCATAGCAGTTAGCTCACAACTGCCTCTAATAATAGCTTCAAGGGTATCTTATACCTTCTTCTGGCCTACGTGAACACCTAAAACACGCACACATGTGCACGTGCAGACAGACACACACGCACACACACACACACACACACACACACACACACACACCACACAGCTTCCCCCCCTCCCCCCCAAGCTCATGACTGGCAGGCAGACTTGACAAAGGAATGGGTTTTCTTTTCATGACTCCTTCATCCCTTCACAATGTAAGACGGGTTATAAAAATTGGGGGAGGTGGGACTGGAGCAATGGCTCAGTGGTTAAGAGTACATACTGCATTTTAAGAAGACCTGGATTCGGTACCCAGCATCCGCATGGTGGCTCTTAGCCACCTTCAATGCCAACTCAAAGGGATCCAATGTCATTATCTGTCCTCAGTGGGCACTGAGTGTACATGCTTCATATATATATATATAATTGTAAATTTATACATACAAATATTATAAACTTATATTTTCATAGTACAGTACATATTATTATATAGTATACACATATTACATAACTTGTAAACAATATAAATGCACACTATAAATTTATAAATATGTATTTATGCATATTAGTATATATTATCTATAAATATACATATGATGTAGGATGTTGGAAAAAATAGCAGGTCACACACTATGGAAGTGTTCACCTTGATGAGCACTCAAGGGCTCCTTCACTGCTGGTATCCACTCACTCCTAATCACTTTGTCTCCATCAGTGCTGGTATCCACTCTCTCCTGATCACCTTTTTTCCACCCACAGGATCTCAGAGGCAACATGCAAAAATTGTGTCAATTTCTGGGCAAACCTCTGAGTCCAGAGCAACTCGATTCTTCTGTCCAACACTTGTCCTTCTCAGCCATGAAAGAGAACGCGATGTCCAACAGTATACTGCTAAGAAATCCGAAAGATGACACGGTCCACAATATACCATTGCTGAGAAAGGGTGAGACAGGATAGCGGGTCACAGTTGTACTTTAAATGGGTAGGTTCCCAACGTTTGCTAAAGCGCGAGACACGGAAACAGATGCTCAGAAGCTAGAGTCCTATCCCATCATATTCTCTGAGAACAGTCGCTGCCCACATTACTGAGAGTTCACCAGAGGAGGAATGAGAGGTTCCTGTGTCCTGCTGCCTCTGCTGTGCAGCGGATAGGTCTATACACTTAGACCACTCAGCCGCAGGGACATTGTCCACGTCTGTAAGAAACCGGAGATAGAGTCGCAGTAACAAGACTGTCCAGTTCAGAGGGTGCTGTGATTACAACAGACAACCCCTGCAAACATCTGTGTGTCTATATGACAGAATGGTCGTTCATCAGTAATAGAATATGTTCACACATGCAGCAACTTGGATGGATTCCAAGGGCTTTATGCTGAGCGACAAAAGTCAACAACATAAATCTGCACACAATATATCTATGTAACATTCATAACATAGAAGACAATTGGAGAGGCAGAGAATATGTTGCTGGTGTTCAGGGATCCAGGTGCTGAGACTTGATAGTAGTATTGGGAGATGCTTGTGGCAGTGGACTATCTATGCATTTCAGTGGAAATGGATCACAGAGATCCCATGTGGAAAAAAGTGACTTAGAGCACGGCATTTTCCTAGTGGAGATCTTTCTGATCATAGCGCTGTGTGAACATTCCCTTAACTAGAATACAACCTTGGTTGGAAAAATAGTTGAAGGACACACACTTTGGTGCCAATTCTGTAGCCTGCTACTCTATCACATGGTTGACATTTTTCCACATGGAGGGGTGGACTGAGGTTCAGCTGTGAGAACCTCTTCAGTTTTTACTTCAAAATTTCAAGACTAGGATTTTCCACGTGACCTTTCAGGCGCTCACAGCCACTGACCTCAGATCATCGCAAGTCCCGTCCCTTTCCCTCTCACGTGGTTCTGACAGCGGGTACAGAGCAGGAAGTTGTAGGATGGCTCCTTTTGGTCCATCCAGAGACACCAACTGGATGGGTGAGGTCAGAGGGAGACAGGCTTGGGCTGCTCACATGCGGTGCTCACTCATTTCCCTTCTGTGTCTGACAGGCACGTGTGGCGACTGGAAGAATGTCTTCACTGTGGCCCAGAGTGAAGCCTTTGACACCGTCTATCAGGAGAAGATGGCGAAGCTTGATCCTGGTCTCTTCCCCTGGTCAGAATACTGCTGACTGATTCCCCGCCCCTCCCAGACAGGGTTCTCAGTGCAGTCCTGGCTGTGCTGGAACTAGCTCTGTAGACAGGCTGGCCTTGAATTCATAGATCCTCCTGCCTCTGCTTCCTATGTGCTGGGATTAAAGGGCTGCATCTCCTCAGCCTTATTGTCTGGTTGGAAGACTGTAAATAAACCTTCCAAGAACTCTGAGTGTTAGCTACCCATAATTTAAAAAAAAAAAAACCTGTCTTCCTTTCTTCCTTCCTTCCTTCCTTCCTTCCTTCCTTCATTCCTCCCTTCTTCCCTCGTTCGTTCATTCCTTCATTTTTTTTGGTCATATGGATGCAAGTCAGTCATCTGGATACAGGAAATCTCAACTGAGAAAACACCTCCATCACACTGTTCTGTAGGAGCACCCAGCCCACTCACGGTGGTGCTGTCTTTGGGAAGTGACTCTTGGTTGTATGAAAAAAAAATCAGTCTGAGGAGGTGATAGGGAGCAAGTCCATAAGCATCATTCCTCCATGGTCTCTACTTCAGTTCCTGCCTCAGTTTCCCAAGATCATGGGCCTGCAAGCCAAATAAACCCTCCTGTCCCTATATTGTTTTGTTTGGTGTTTTATCGCAGCAATGAAACAAAGATTAGATTCTGTCCCTTTGGGTGGCCTAGCAGCTCACATCACAAAACTCTGAGAAAAATACATTTTTTAAAAAACCCGATGGAATCTAGAGCAGACAGTCCTGTCCCTAGTTCCCAGAACTGAATTGCAGGAAGGCGTTCATAACTCGACAGCAATGTATCATCACTGTCAGCCTGCTGCCTGGGGAGTTTGTGGTTGTTGCAGGGGTGTGTGCTGGCCCGAGGTTTACGTCTCCAGTCCTAAGGAGCACACAGCGTCAACTGATGTGGGATTCCCTCTGTATGCTGGGAACCACTGCTTAATAGATAAAGCTGCTTTGGCTTGCCAGAAGGACAGAGCACAGCAAGGCGGGAAAATCCAGACAGATGCACAGAGAGGGTAGGCGGAAAATGAAGAGCAGGGATTCCACTAGGTTAAGGAAGGAGTCTACACTGCATTAAATGTAGCAGAGTCAAATTGAAGCCGAATTATTAGGACGGGGAAGTCAGTTATTTCTATTAGGAAAGCTCAGCTGAATTAGTAAGGTTTTTTCTAGTTTCTGAAAACAATAAGGACTGGAGAGAAGGCACAGACATTAAGAGTACTCTTTGTTCTTGCAGAGGACCCGCGTCCAATTCCTTGCATCCACATGGTAGTTCATAATCACATGTAACTATAGTTCCAGGGGATCTGATGCTGCCTTGACCTTCGAGGGCTTCCATACACACAGGTACACGTACACACACCTGGTATACACATATCCATAAAATTATTTTCTTAAAAGGAAAAATAGTCTAATTATTCAGTAGTTCTCAACTTTTCCAATGCAGCTAGTCTTTAATACAGCTCACGTTGTTGTGATTCCCCAACAATACAGTTTTCATTGCTACTTCATAACTCTAATTTTGCTACTGAAATGAATTGTAATGTAAATATTTGAAAAGCAGGACATATAATATGAAATCCCTTTTGGAGTTATGATCCACATGTTGAGAACTACTTATTAAGACTATTAAAATTGAAATATTGTTTAAATAGGACTAACTTCTTTATTCTAATTCACAGCAAATGTAACAGTGACTAACAACATGGAAAATCTTCAGTTTCAGAGGTTTATTATTTGTTGTATATATGTGTGTGTATATACATGTGTGTAGTGTGTTCATATATGTATTCGTGTGTGTATTCTTGTGTGCATACTTGTGCGTGTGTACTCATGTGTGTATATATGTGTGTGCATATATGAGCGTGTATGTATGTATATATGAGTGATTATTTGTATGTGTGTATATATGTGTGTATGTGTGCATGTGTGTATGTGTATACATACATGTGTGTATATTGTGCGTATGTATGTGTGCATGTGTATGTATGTGTGTATATGCATGTGTATATGTATATGTGTGTATATATGTGTTATAAACACACACACATATATATATGTGTTTAACTGGAGTTAAAGGCAGTTTTAAGACACACATGTAGGTACTGGGGTTTGAACTCTGGTCTCTGAAGACTGGGGAGCACTTTTAATCCCTTCCAGCCCCTCTTTGAAGGAATAAAGGGCAAACCTTAGCTTTTATTTCTGGGACTTAGAAAAATAATTTTTGAGATCACTTTTCTAAAAGGTATGATTCTTGATTTTAACTTTGGGAATTCTAGACATTATCTTCATGCGTCCCACCTTCTGCATGGCGATGCTTGTGTCTTTTAGGATCATGGCGTGAACTACAGTTCAGGTGATGTTAGCTGCACTGACAATGACAGCAAGTGTAACGTGTCACAAACAT